CGGAACCGTCGTGCTCTGTCCGATCAGGGCAGTTGAAGCCTTTCACTGAGTCAATGAAGATTCAGTTCCTCAAACTAAGAGTATTGCCAATGTTAGTCTCCGGCGCCACTGACTCAACTTACGGTTCCGACTGGGGACACTCTCAGTCTGCCGGCTCCCCGGCCCGGTCCGAAGTCTGGCCCGGGCGGCTCTCCTGATCTACGGAGACGCCGGTCATCAGTGATGCGGCGGCCTCAGGGCCTGTCTCTTGCTCAGTGCCCCGCGCCTTCTTGGTCCTGTCACGTCTAGCTCCCTCTCCCAGTGATTTCCTCGCTGACCTTTTAACATCCGGCCCTAGACACGAGGCAATTCGACGAACTGCATTGCGGACCGAATGGTTCGTCAAGACGCGACTCTGGAGAGTGCTTGCGATGGAAGAGGCAAACCCCGAGAGGAAGTTCTCCAGGTGAAAGAGAGAGTCATTTCTTTGAGGGATCGCACACATGTAGCCAAACATCTTGTATATGGAGCAGCTCGGTCCAAGCTTGAGCAAGCAAGATTCCAAGACCCGCATGACAGGATGGAGGGCATTCACAACTGACTTGATGTATGTCCAACGGTCACTCTCCGACATGTCGTCGATGCTGTTCGGACACTCTCGATTCGGAAAGATCGTACTCCACAATTTGCCAAATGTAAGGTGCTCAACATTGCACAGTGGCTGCAACTCGTCCAATCTTTGCCGCAACATCTTATTTTCTTCCTCCAAATGGGCATTCTCCTCAAGCAATCGATTGTATTCCTCTGCAAGCTTGAAGTAATGATGGATTGTTCTCCCGAAGATTGAATATGGAGACAACATGTACCCCTGCCCCATCCTGTGAAGGAAAGAGTGCACATCTGCAGCCCCGTCTAGTTTCACGAACCCCTCAAACGCCGCCAGAAACTCCAACCCTCTGCATGGATCCTGTCTGATGTAGAATCGCCTATCGCTAATGCTAGAGGACGGGTTCAATTGTTGAAGACGCAGCATTTGAGGTGAGTCTCTTTCAAACCGAAAGAAGTTGTTCAGCTCTGCCATGTCGTGGTAGTTCAGAGGAGGGGGAAACCTTGCAGGATCAATCGCTGTAACAGATGAGAACTCAGCGACTGAGTGCGGGTAAGAGAATCGCACGTTCGGATCAGCAAACATGGTCCTGCGAAAGGGACGTTGGCTCAACAGTGAACCAGAATAGGATCCGAACGTCATCGGCAAAGGTATCAAGATTTCCATCCTTCAAAGCGTTGATGAGACGAAGGAAATGGAAAAAAAGGAGAGGCAGGAGGCAGGAGGCAGGAGGCAGGAGGCAGGAGGCAGGAGGCAGGAGGCAGGAGGCAGGAGGCAGAAGGCAGGAGGGAGAAGGGCAGAAGGGCAGGAGGGCAGAAGGGCAGGAGGGCAGGGGAGGAGGGGGAAGGTGTGTGTGTGGGGGGGGGTTAAGGGGGGCAGGAGGCGAAGGGCAAGGAGGAGGGAAAAGGATGCGGAGATGAGGGGAGATCTATTGAGAAACTTTGAAACTTTCAATCAGAAGTTTCGAAAGTTTGTTGATTAGAGTTTAGCGCTCCAACTTGTGAAAGTTTCGAAGGGTTTTGTGTTGAGAATTTCCTTCCAAAATTTCAAAAGTTCACTCGATGTGAATAATTTCATGCATAACGCCAAAAAGGATCTTGCACGGGTAAGGGACCCACCCCTTCTATAACTAGCGCTGCTTAAGGTGGGTGGGTGGCATGCAAAACCTTTGGAAATAGCCTATAAAGTACCGGTGTCAAGATGGAATTAGGGGGTGGGGGTGATGGGGAATCCTTGGGTAGGGTGGGTAAAAAAAAAAGAGAGAATCGCACGAGGGAAATCAAGGAAGGTGAGCATGCAGATAGCAGCGCTGACGATGATGATGGGGAGGAGGAGGAGGAGGAGGAGGAGGAGAAGGAGAAGGAGAAGGAGGTAGTAGAAGCTTACTAGACCTGTGATCACACGAGGAAGAGAAGGAGTGGTGCATAGAGATCCAGGTTGCAGTACTCATGACCAGTGCTTAATGTTGTGTGTACGCGGTCACAGTCTGCTTCGGGCGGCAGGAGGACGGAGAGGCCTGAGATGATGTTAAGGATCAGGATGTGGGATATTTCAGTGATGAAGAGGGAGAAGAGGTTTTGACAGCCATGAGCGGAACACAAAGAACGGATGCAGCACAATTGGTGAAGAACAGCCGTGGTTATCCAAGTGAAATGTGTTTGGTTGTCTGAGACAGAAGCAGCACGGTGTGCATGTAGATTTCAGAAGAGGCATCATGGAAAATCTTCTGTGTATCTTCCTGCAGCCTGTCTTGTGTCGCTGTCGTACTTGACAGCATGATACCCCTTGACGATGCAGAAGGAGACAGGGCAGAAGGAAGGAGGGATCTCTTTTGTAGTGATATAACGGCAGCATGAGCAGCAGTGGCAACAGCTGCAGCAGTAGCAGCAGATAATGTCTGGAAGTGTAGGCAAGGAATAGCATTGGTAGAAGCAGAGAGGTGGCAGGGCGAGCGGAGCAGGGGCGAGGAGGATGTCGACTTTTTGATTGCGAATTTTTTTCAACTGTCAAGTTCCTCACGACTTGTTGTGCAGGTAACCATGGCTCGCGGACCAAGGAAGCACTTGAAGCGCATCACAGCGCCCAAGCACTGGATGCTTGACAAGCTGACGGGAGTCTTTGCCCCCCGTCCCTCCGCTGGTCCGCACAAGCTCAGGGAGTGCATCCCCCTGCTGCTGCTCATCCGCAACAGGCTCAAGTACGCTCTGACTTACTCAGAGGCCAAGGTTATCATGAACAGCCGGAGCATCAAGGTGGACGGCAAGATCAGGACCGACGTGACCTACCCCTGCGGCTTCATGGACGTGCTCTCGATCGAGAAGACCGGCGAGCACTTCCGTCTCCTTCACGACACCAAGGGAAGGTTCGTCCTCCACCGCCTCACCCAGGCCGACGCCCAGCACAAGCTCTGCCGCGTCAAGAGCCTTGGCGTTGGCATCAACAAGGTCCCCTACATCGTCACTCATGACGGCCGCACCATCCGCTACCCCGACCCTCTCATCAAGCCCAACGACACCGTCCAGATCGATCTCGCCACCAACACCATCATCGGATTCTCCAAGTTCGAGGTAGTCTCCTCCTCCTCCTCCTTTTCACTTCTTCTCTTCTTGTCCATCTCTTTGCTTTCTCTGCGTTGTTATTTCTCACGTGAGAGGCAGGTTGGCAACGTGTGCGCAATCACTGGGGGTCACAACATCGGGCGTGTCGGAATCATTCAGGTGAATTCCCCGTCCTTCTCTCTTTTTATCCTGTTTCTTCTCCCTCCTCTCCTCCCTCCCCTCCTCCTTCGCTCTTTGTGCTCACTGCTGTCTCAGTCCACGGAGAAGCATCCTGGATCGCACAACATCGTTCACATCAAGGACAAGACTGGCGCCACCTGGGCCACCCGTCAGAGCAACGTGTTCGTTCTGGCCACGGGCAAGAAGCCTGAGAAGGCCTACATCCTCCGCACTCAGGGTATCAAGCACTCCATCATCGAGGAGCAGCGCCGCCGCCAGGATAAGTCTAACAAGAACTAAAGTAGACAATGTCTTGATAAAACATGCAATGGAAAAGTTAACCCCTCGTACCTTCCCTGTCCTCCGCTTCCTACACACCCGTGCTCTTACCTCTCAAATGCCTTCATCTCTCTCTCCTCTCCTCCTCTCTCGTCCCTCCCCTCGTTTCACATCGTCATCAGCTCCCTGTCAGCGCATCTCGCAGATCGATTCGAACATCTCCACCATGACCTCCCCGATGTCGGTCACGACGACGGTGAAGACGAAGCCGATGATGATGATGATGACGAAGCCGATGACGAAGCCGATGATGATGATGACGACGACGACGACGACGACGACGACGGAGCCGGTGATGATGATGATGATGATGAGGAGGAGGAGGAGGAGGAGGAGGAGGAGGATGCACACGGGGACAGGAAGAAAGGGGGGGGAGGAGGAGGAGAGGATCAATTTTCTAATCTGTCATTTTAATTCGGGCCGGAAGGAGCCACCTTATCCTCCTCTTCATCGTCGAGGTCCAGCAGGTTGGTGGAGCTGAGCAGGTAGCTGAGCCTGGGGGAGGGCGACACCGATCGCTTCCTCCCGCCCCCCTCATGCTCCTTGGACGCACCGCCCTTGTGCGCGTTGTCATGCATGGCCTCGTGCTGCTCGGCATGCGAGGCGCTCTTAGTCCAGCTGTGAATCCAGGAGACGATGAGGCCAGCAAAGAACACGACGAGGCCGGCGGCGTGCTGGACGAAGAAGGGCTTGGGGAAGAGGATGTAGGAGGCAAACACGCTCACAAACTTGCGACAGATGCCCATGCCGGTCGCCATAACGGCACCGAAGCCCTTGATACATGCAGTGAAGGCGTAGCTTCCTCCGTAGGCCAGAGAGACTGTTGCGAGCAGCCAGAGCAGCGCGTCGGGATTCGACTGAAGGCAAGTCAGCATCCTCCCTCTCAACTCCTCCTGCTCCTCCTCCTCACCTCTATTCGCTCCTCGAAGAGCTTCAGCTCCCCCAGGAAGAAGGCGATGACGGCAAGGAAGACCGCACCGATCCCGTTAGTCACGAAGATCATCTCAGCAAGAGGACGGTGCTCCCTGTGCAGTGCTCGCTCCTGCAACGTGCTCACCGTCGCCTCCGACGCGACGGCCAGCAGCATCATCCCAATCCCTCCCACCGTATCCGTCCCCTCCGTCTTGTCCCTGATCTTGTCGGCAGCGGAGAACATGTACAATCCTGCGACCGCGAGGGAGGCGGCTGCGTACTCAGCAGCAGCAAACCGCTTTTTGAGGATGATCAGCCCGGAGAGCATGACGACGATGATCTTGGAGCTCTTGAAGAGGAGAACAGTCGGGTAGCTCAGAGTCCCGTAGCCCACCCACGTCAGCCCTCGGCCCAGCGAGATGCACAGCGCGACGGCTGTATAGGAACCCCAGGGGATGGAGGAGAAGTTGACGGACAGGCGCGTCATCTTCATCTCCACGAAGGAGAGGACAGTGTACATAAACAGCTCCACCGCTGCTGCTACCCACATCAGCCCGACTAGCACGCCCTTGGCCACGTGCTCTGTTAAGATCCCTTGCAGGACATGGCAGAAGAGCATCGCCCCGCCGAGGATGCAGAGCTGAACCTGAGAACAAGCCGTCACTTTCGCGTTGGCACTATGAGGCAACTGGTGGTGATTGAATGATGGTGTCGAGGATAAGTGAAGGGGAAAGGGGAGGGGAAGGGAGGGAGTCAGGGAGGGAAGGGAGGGAAGGGAGGGAGGGGAAGGGAGGGAGGGAGGGAGGGAGGGAGGAGGAACGAATGGAAGGAAAAGCAAAGGGAAAGCACAACGCCACTTACATTAGGCGATAAATAGCTTATGTCAAACCCCCACAAGGTGATACGCGTACATTGAGTCCTTGTTCCCGTCATGTGTTGGATCAACGTGAACGAAGCTTTGGGCTCACGCAGGAGCAGGTACTGAGCAGCCAACTGGTTGTTCTCCCCTCCTCTGTCTTTCGCTCTCCTCTCTCCTCGTTCCTCGTTTGTCGGTTCAGGTGGCTCCAGTTTGTGCCGGAACCAGAGATACGCTGCATAGGAGTCAGTGGGGGGAGCCTTCGGGAGGAGAAAGGGAGGGGTGGGGGAAAGAGGGCAACAACATGTGACGATCTATGTCTGAGACTGCAACTCCGAGGGAATCACAACGAAAAGATTCTCACTACCTCATTCCGAAATTGTGCTGCCGCTAGCTGCCAGCTGGCTGCTGCTGCTGAATGCTATTCCTCCTCTTCCCTCTGCTGCTGCTGCTTCTGCTGCTGCTGCTGCTAGAACTAGTTGAAGCTGATGGGGATTGTCATAGATCTGAATCTATCGTTGCCAACACAAAGCGCATGCATCCTTAATCTTCTACCTCTGGCTTTCATGATCCTGGCAATACTTTGATGATCGCTCGAATCGTGTTGTCTCATAAATTTGATCGTGAGTGCATACTATCCGAGACAACATGCACATAACGCCAAAGTCGCCAAAGTGAAGGGATGCTCCATCTCCACCATGCGCACTCGCAACACCAACGGATCGGGGAACAAACTATCATGTTGCTCACAAGAATCCTCCATGTCCTTCTCAACTCGACTTCTTCTCAACATGAATCCTTCTCTCTTCATCTCCTCTCATGTACTTCTCTTCTACCTCCTCCTCCTCCACCTCCTCCTCCTCCTCCTCCTCCTCCTCCTCCTCCTCCTCCTCCCTGCCTCACGAGCATGAAGAGAGGCCGCAGCCCCCGGCAGGCTAAAACTAGTTTATAAACTTACAAGAAATATTAAATTGGTACCAACTTGTTGGATATGGTAGGGTGTATTTGAGCGACTGCTCAGTTAATCCTTTAAAGATTATAGAACAGAAGTTTTAGATACACTTGCCACAGTAGAAAAATCAAAATATATTATATAGATTAAAGACCTCTACACTACAAATAGTGATCCGAAAACTAATTTAAAAGATCTCAAAATTCTATCAGAAATTGTTTGTATAACATATATATTATTAAAATGGTTTTCATAAAACATTTTTATCTAATAACATATTTAGACTGAACGGGGGCCACCACGTGCCTGACAGGCCTAAACAGGGCCGGCAGCTGAGCGGCCCCCCGGGCCGGCGGGCACACGCCGGGCCCGGGCGGCCCCGGTGAGTCCGAGGCTGAGTCACTGCGGACACTGACGGTCAGCCGATCGGACCGGCCGGGCCGGGCCCCGGAGTCCGGGTCCGGCGGGCCGCCGGGCCCGGGGGGCGGGCCGGGCCCTGCTGTCCGATCGGACGGTCGGGTACCCGGTACCGTACCGTCACGGCAGTGACGTGATGACACATGATGCCCCGGCGGCGGCGGCCGGCGCACACAGCCTGCCAGCTGCTGAGCCTACCGTATTCCGGCGATGATGCCTCTACTTCTTACGCCGGTAGATCCCGGAGTCCGATCGGCCCCGGTCAGTGGCACACTGCCTGCCCGCGGCCTGCAGTGCCAGCCTGGCCCACTGTTGCCTCAGCCTGTGTACTGACCGTACGGTACGGCCCGGTCACACCCGGCGGCGTGCAGTGCGGCGTCACGGCGTCCAATCATTCACGCCGGGCCGGGTCACTGAGTGTCCTGGGGCCGGCCGGGCCGCGGCGCGCCGCCCGGCCGGAGTCGACGGTCCGAGCGACCGTCGGCAGTGAACTTCGGACGCGCCCGGCCCGGCCGCCGCCGGGGCGGCGGCCGGCCGGGCAGTCACCCGTGACAGTGCGCGGCCCGGGCCAGACTACGGTGACTCTGGGAACCGGGTTCACTGAGGCTCGCCGGCGCCGGGCCGGGCGGCCCCGCCGGCCGGGCAGCCTTATTTTTAACTCAACTTTGACTAAAAAGTTGGCTCCCACCGGCCCCAGCTGCCGGCATACGGTCAGGATACCTGCTTCACTACCATTCTTTTACTCAAAGTTAAGTTAAAAATCAGGACTAGGTCGAGACATTTGAACTTCGTTTGTTAGTACTTTTCGAGCATGTTGAGAACTTTTCATGTGATGTGACCTTATCAAAGATGAACTATCCATGCGATGATCCTCTGAAAGTTCGTAGGGACGTGGCGGAAATGTAGCAGGGATCATGGCGATGGGAAGGAGGGATGAGAGGGATGGATGGAAGAGAAGCTCAGGAAGAAGAAGGGAAGGAGGTAGAGGAAAGGACAAGCCGATGAAGAGAATGTCCCGAGATCCGGAAGACTGAGGTGAGCCAGGATCGTGCTGTAGGCAGGCTAGGTGAGAAGAGGACGAGCAGCGAGGAGGAGGACGAAGAGGTTGTGGGAGAAGCAGAGAACAGCACAAGAACATGAAAGCAGCCAAGTGTTTGGTGTAAGGTGATTGGTAGGCAGTGAAATGTTTTGACGGATAGGAAAGCACCTCTGCGAACCTTGTTGCTGTGACAGACAAGTCTCACAACTCAGCGCGACTGTCCGCAACAATTACTCATGCTTGCATGCTGATATCCCTGTGCTTCTCTCAGAATGGTTCTCCGCGGGTCAACGCTGGCACCCGACCAGGGTGTCTCGGAGCTCAAGAAAGCGATCAAGCAGGACCTGGAGAAGCTCCATGAGATGGAGCAGGCGCTGAACTCAGCGCAGAAGGAGCGGCTGGAGGCCTTGCGGAAGCTCGAGGAGATGGAGATGGAGAAGACAGACTTCAAGAAGGAGTTGAGGACGTTGAGGGAGAGGGTGGAGAGCCTTGAATCAGAGCAGCTCAGAGCCAGGAACAGGTTGGATCAGGACTGGTCCGCTCTGCAGAGGACTCTCAAGCAGCTGGTAGCAGGAGGTGTAGCAGGAGGCATGGCGCGAACTGCTGTCAGCCCTCTGGACAGGGTGAAGATTCTGATGCAGACGCAACACATCAGTAACCCCGGAGAGGAGAAGTATACCTCCGTCTGGCAGGCGCTCAAAAGGATTTGCAGGGAGGATGGGCCTCTCGGGTACTGGAGGGGGAACGGCGCCAACTGTCTGCGCGTCATCCCCTACTCAGGGACGCAGTTCATGTCGTATGAGCAGTACAAGCTGTACCTGCTACGGCCGAATGAGAAGCAGCTCACCGTCGAGAGAAGGCTTCTGGCGGGAGCCTGTGCCGGCATGACCGCCACGTTCGTCACCCACCCCCTCGACCTGCTCCGACTTCGTCTTGCTGTTCAGCCGGAGCTCAAGGGAGTCATGGACGCCGCCAGGTCTGTGCTGCAGGAGGGAGGCGTGCAGGCTTTCTACAAGGGCCTCGGCCCGACGCTCGTCTCCATCGCCCCCTTCGTTGCCTTCAACTTCGCTGCCTACGATACCCTCAAGAACCACTTCTTCCCCGAGAAGCGTCCTGGAACCATCGCCACCCTCAGCATGGGAGCTGCAGCCGGGCTGGTCGCGCAGACGATCTGCTACCCCCTCGACACGATCAGGAGGAGGATGCAGATGAAGGGGAAGATCTACGACAACACTTGGAACGCGTTCATCACCATCATGCGCAACGAGGGTGCGAGGGGAATCTATCACGGCTGGGTGGCCAACATGCTCAAAGTCCTGCCCAACAACGGCATCAGGTTCCTCGCCTACGAGTTCATGAAGACCCTCCTCGGACTCCCCCACAAGTCAGAGGGGGGCGGAGGAGGAGGCTGATCGGGGACGGTTAACATCCAAGGACGGCCTCTCAAATCTTCGTCATCATCTCTACATTATTTACCTGCTCTCCCTCCTCTTCCTCAAGGCTTCAAGGGCCATTGCCGTGTTAGTTCATGTTCTTCCTGTCTGTTGCTGAAGAACTCTCACGGAAGACGGATCGGACTGCCTTCGGAAGGCATCCGAGCTATCACATTAGTTATCATCACCACTCACTTGAATGCATGCCATGATGAAGTCAACCTGGATGTTACAATGATGACTATTCACTATGCTCAGTACTACGGTAAGTTTTCTGCGGCTGTCAAAATGATCATCCTCGAGTCATCTTGATTGGAACTGACTGTTCACTGTTGAACTTTACGGCGGTCCCTCCGAGTCCGAGTGGCCCGGGGCCGGGCCCTCGTTCCAGGCCCCAAGGCTTGCCGCAAGTTGCATAAGTTGCACCAGTGACCCGGTTCTGGCGGCCAGGGCCGGATACCGTAACCCGTCGGGGTCCCCGGGTTTTTTCCTAAAAATATCTAGTGTAGGCCGCGTCCGAGTCAGTGACGGTCCAGCCTACCGCACGGTGATCCGATCGGACCGCGCCCGGCGCCGTGGTAGTACCGTCGTCGGAGTCACTGTACGGCACCGGGATTGTCAGTTGATTTATGTTAATCAGTACAAATTATGAGTAAACTTTATGGATTTTTACAAATAATGACTCGGTATAGTTTCATTTTCCTTTAAAATCAGCACCAAACTATGGATTCCTCCAAGGGTCACGCTATGCGATGATACCGATGGCGGCAGGGAAGTAACGCGCCGGTTGCGACCTCCTCCTCTCTCCTCCTCTCTCCTCCTCTCTTCTGTTCGCTCCTCCTCTCTCCTCCTCTCTCATCCTCTCTTCTGTTCGCTCCTTTCTTCTGCCCTACTTCCTTCCTTCCCGCCTCATCTTCCTCCTCTCGAACTTTGAAAGAGGATGGTGGCGGCGCGACGACTTCTGATCCTTCAAGCCCTCCTCCTCATTGGTCTTGTCAATGCCTTCCCCATGTGGGTCAGGATCCCTACAGGGCAGGAGCATATGGATCAACAGATGGAGGACGCGCAGCAGGAGAGCAGGAAGGAGAAAGTCTCCTTCATGCTCCATGGCAGAACTGCTGATGGACCGGAGACTGCTGAGTTCTGCTCGCTGGCATCTGCAGGCTGTCATGCAGCGGCCACACCTCAGGCCTCTGGAGGCGGGGAGCAGCAGAAGGGAGACTTTGCCAGCATGTTTGAGAGGCAGGCTGCTCCCCTCGACGACTTCTCAAGGACGGGTCGATGGCACGTGAGCAGACTGCAGGACAAGCTCAAGAAGCTCGAGCAGAAGCTGACGCGAGCAACGTCGGCCAGGCGCCTCCTGTCCGCCGACCCTCCGAGGTTCCCGTCCAGGTTGTACCAGATGGTGTCAGGAGTGCGAAGTGTAGAGCACTTGGGGCTGGAGATGCTCAGGAATGTGGAGCAGCACATCTGCAAACTCTACTTCAAAGTCTGCTCTCATGACAGCTCGGCCGCTCCTCCTTCTCCCGGTCGTGAGGATGCAAAGCCTTCGCCTCCTGCCCAGCCCACGTCCAGCACGCTCGCCGGGCGGATCAGGAGGAGGCTGGAGGCGATGAAGCAGGCGTACAGGAGCCTGCAGGAGCAGAGGCGGGTCAGTGTGACGTGCTGTCGAAGAGGAGGAGGAGAAGTGACGAGTTTCATGGCAGGTGACACCGAAGGAGCAGGCGGCTGTTTACGCTAGAGTCAGCCAGGAGCGAGCTCCTGGAACTGCTCGCTATGCCTACGTGAGCTCAAGCAAGTTCTCCTCCTTGATGCGCAACCGCCTGCACCGTCTGATCTCCAAGGCCAAGGGGACGAGGAGCAGCCAGCTGGCCGGTGGCAAGGCGGAGGTGGAGGGCCACGGCAAGGATCTCCATGCCGCGCTTCCTCGGGACGACTTCAACGACTTCCCGTCAGGCAAGTGGACGAGCTTCTCTGGCGACGACGAGACAGGGAACGAGGGACGGAGCAGGAAGCAAGCAGCTCCCAGCGACTGGCCCAAGGGCAAGTGGCGAAGTCACTCGGCGGAGGACGTGACGAGCAAGTCGATGCAGAAGAAGCAGATGGCGCGAAAGTCGCAGCAGCTCGGCATCAGCAACGTGTACTACGCGGAGGAGCCTGAGGATCGCGCACAGTGGTGGGACGAGCAGGTCAGAGACTACAACCCTGGAGGAAGGGGCAACCCCGGGCTGCACGAGGGGCAAGCTTATCCTCCCCTCGAGCCGCAGCAAGAGGAGGATGGGACGTGGAGCAAGGATCCTCTGACAGGGGTTGGGCCCAAGGCCTGTATCTGGATGTACGCGGGGCCGGAGTGCGGGAAGGGAGTGATGGAAGGAGCGAACCTGGCGCTGGCAGCGGCGACATCCAGCATGCCACCAGTGGGCTCGATGCAGATCAAGAAGATCTACTCGCTGCATCCTTCCAAGATCCGGGGGGTCCTGTGGGACGACGACCCTGCCAACCCGCTGGGGGAGACCATGTACTTTGTTATCCCCTCCCTCCACGACTACCCCTCCATCCCCCAGCACACCAAGGCAGACCTGAGGGACTACGTGTACACCGGTCACACGTTCCTCTCCATGGGGGGGGTGATCAACATCTACATCCTCAACGAACTCTTCGGCTGGAACCTTCTGCCCCAGTACCAGCCCGGGCCGTACCTGTGGAACGATCGCACGTGCCCGGGCACTCCCTTCGAGAAGGTGAGGAGGACGGTGAGCGAGCAGGGGAACACAAGGATGGGCATGACCGGCGTCGCCATCGGCTCCATCCCACCAGGGGGCAAGAGCTACTTCGACAACGACGGGTCCTCCGTAGCCATGTGCGTCCCCATCGGGAGGGGTCGTGCATGCTACGTGAACCAGGAGTTCATCCGCCCCATGACGCCCTACGGCTGTGGCGTGTGGGTTCAGATCGTGCGGGCTGCGCTCAACGGAGGAGAGTGCAAGTGCATCTGTAAGGGGCCGCTGCACGCACGAGAAGACTCAGGTGCCCTTCCTCCAGCCCACACCCAACTCCACACACACAC